TCGTTACTTGAAAAAAGTAATCGGATTACAGTAACTGGTCAGCACCCATTGGTGTGTGAATTCCCACCTTTCCTCATCTTACACTTTGCTTTATCATCTTTTTTGCCATAATTTACAAAATGGGGATCATGTTGTACTGAGGGTTATTTTCCTGTTGACGTCCATACAAGCGGATTTCTTTTGCGACCGCTTTTGCAAACACTTTTGTCGACCAACTGCTTCTCTGATGGCGGCATCCAGCCATGCCACAAAACTGCTGAGGAACAGCTCAAGAAACATGACAATGAGCCACAAAAGCATTATCCCATCTTTCAAACAGCTCAATTCAATTGAGCATCTGTGGGATACGCCAGAATAATCCCAATCCCTGGGGCCCCCACATCAAAACCTACAGGATCCAAAAATTCACCATGCCAAGCACCACAGGACACCCCAGATGTCCCATATCCATACACTGATGCGTCAGAGCTGTTTGCCGGGTTGAGACAGATCACACAATATTAGGCAGGTGGTTTTAATGTTGTGGATAATTGATGCATTTAAGGATCCACTGGAACATTAACATGCATCAGTATCAAACCTCAAAGCCATGTGTAAGGAGCACTTACAGTGAGGCAGATGCTCAAGATATCGAGATACTACAGTATGTAATACTCCACCACCTGTAATTGCCTTGTCCTCAGGCAAACATGGGAGGTCTTGACAGCACAAACCTGGCAACCTTGTTGCTTCAACAACTGAGTCTAATGAAGCACACACACACTAACTGAATCGGGAAGATGCACCTGCTGCGGTGCGTGTTTGTGGAGGCAAGGGTGGGTTGGGGGGGTTTGACATCCTGGTGTTGCCTCGTGACAATAAGTTTCTCTGAGATTTCATCATATTTCATTGTTTTATTGTTTGGGCTGTGGCTCTTAAAAAAAGCAATGCAAAATATGGTCTGAGTGCTAGACAGGGAAACAAAGTGATAAAGATGCAGAGGAAGAAGTGCAGAAGGAGTGCACAGTTGTGAGAAAGCGACAGGGAGAAAAATGGTGTGAAAACAGGATCTGAGACGAAGGCAAACTCCCAGCAAACACTCAGAGGCCCAAGAAAATCTGTGGTATGCCATTATCACCATCATCACTACCATCATCCTCATGGTGGCTATAATCATTTTCTTTTTTCCTTCAGCTATCCTAACGCCACCTGCAGAAATATCACTTGCAATTGCTGGAGGATCCTGTTGTCTCCATCTGCTTCATTTGAATAGTATTCTCCATGAAAAAAGGAAAAAAAAAATCACCAATGAACTGTCTCACCTTCCAAAAGAGATACATCATATTTCCACAGAAGGCAATAAAAGCAATGCAGGCCCAATTCCCCACAGTTTTGAAGACAGGGGCTGTATTTCAGCTAGACTCATCAATATGCAAAACATCAGAGCATTGCTTGCCACAAGAATATTCCCTCCACTGCACACTCTGCAAGTGTGCACAAACATCATGGTATTTTGCGTTTCTTTTCTTAAAAAAAATAAATAAATGACGGGAAAAACAACTTCCATTGGAAAGAAAAAGTATGCAAATCTTGCACAAACATAATCACATTTTGATGAAAAGCACCGGGATCCAAAGCGCTAAATTGCCCTATGTGATTTTAATACTCTGCAGGCAATTGTCAAACCAAAGAGACTCAGAAGAAAGAACACTCCAGGGCTGAAATCAATGCACTACCTTTTATTTGGGAAGAAGTGAACAAACTCCCAACACTGGATTACATTTCAAAGCGCAGAGCCTAGAGCTTTCCAGTTGAGGAGCTAGTATAGTGTGGGAGAAAGGTGCTGTAGCGTGGGAGAGAGGCATAATCATTATGACCTACAGTAGGGTAGATGTAGGTTAAGTTAGTCCCTCTCTCCGCCTGCAGTGCTCGCTCTGCCTTTCTCTTTCTCAAGTCTCTTCCCTGGGCTGTCTTTCCTGGGTTGTTAAATCCCTGCTCCTTTAATCTCCTTACTCAGCTACATCCTCTTTAAAGATGCAGAACCACGGGAGAGACGTGGGATACGTCAACTGGGGACTGGTGCTGAGCAAGGCGGGGCAGGACATGCAGAGTGGCGGCGTTTGAGTTTTTTGAGAGACGACAAAGTTGTACCGGCATTGAGAAAATAAAACTTTTCCAAACATTGAATGAGAAGAGCACACCTTAAATCTCCTGAGCATCGAACTGGGAAATGAAGCGATCGTCATTTCATTTGTGCCTTAAAGGACATCCTAGAGACTGCAAAGGTTAATTTTTGCATCTGTTAGTAGTTATCGGTGTGAATGTGTGTGTGTGTGAATGGGTGGATGACTGGTTGTTTAAAGCACTTTGGGGTCCTTAGGGACTAGAAAAGCGCTATACAAATACAGGCCATTTACCATTAATCTGAACCTAGGGCACGATATGTACTCTAAAACCTTAGAGTAGTGCTCAGCATCAAGTATGGGGATCTAATTCACCACAACACTAAATATTTATATGTGTCTCTGATAGACATTTCAGTGCAGCTAGATTCAGTGTAGAGAACAAGCACGTGTAAAGATAAGAACTACTGTACCCACTCATCAATCTACAATCTCCTACATGCGTGAGCCTCAAAAGCACACAACGCCCTCATATTTAGAGCTGATTTTGTATCAGCAGCATCAAACCCGTTGCCAACTGCAATAGTGATGCAGTGCCTATCAATCATCTGCATGCTGTAAAACACAACAGCAACATTTCAATAACAGTGCATCACCTGAGACTCAGGGAGAGGAAACTAATCTATTGAAAAATGGATCATAGTTGTCCTGCGTGCCACATGCGATTCGGTACGAAGAAGCGAGATTCTACTGTAGATTTCTGGGTCATTTTTCAAGTGTATGCATCTTTGAAGTTCAGCAGCGTAAACCTCAACGAAGAAAAATTGAAACAGCCAAAGTGTGTCATCTGGAAGCCTTTTAGATCTCTGAAACCTAATAAGTCATGAGAACATTTCTGCACTAGATCTAAGAAGCTTTTATTTCCACCGATGCATGCATAGATTTAAAACGTGCCATAAAAGGGTTATCACCCTGTTCACGCCACATTATCCACATATAATGAGTTAGAAAACATTTACGATAAGATCTGACTGATTGTGCTGTTGGCGCAGCTACGGTATGTGACCTCCCACACTCAGAAGCAACACACTAATACATCAGCAGCTATCATAAACACTCCATATGTAAAGCAAAGGATCACATTTAATCTCTAATTAGTGGTTTAGCAGTACCTGTTTCCCAGAAGTAGACAGACTTCCCATCATCTGTCTGTGTGTGAGCCTCCCAGAAACCACACAACAGCAGCAATGCCACCAAATGGTACCAGCTCTCCTCTGTCCTTTTTTGGATGGCCCCTCCTGTACCCCTCCACCCCAGCCCCATGGTCCTCCACAGGATAAAAGTAAATCCACTCAGCTCGGAAGGCAGCGATGATGAAAAACAACAAAAAACTCGCTAGTCCAATAGGCAGAGTGAAGTGTGCTTCAGTTTGAGAGAAGGTGTGTGAGTAAGTGTGCGGGAGTGCAAGAGCGGGAAAAATAATGATGATCTTGTGCACAGTGCTCCTGCAGGAGTTGAGGGTCCAGTACTTGGTGTTGTGAAGGACAGGAGTGTAGTTTTGTTCCCAACTTGGCAGGATGGTCCCAGAGGGAGGCTGTCAGTGACGGGGACTGAGCTGCAGATGGATGGTACAGTCGTCCTCCTCCATCGTATCCGCTTCCTCTGCTGCCGCTGCTGCCTCTGTCCTCTGGCTGTGGAGCAGTGACAGTGGGCGAGTGTCTGCAGTGTTGTACGCCTCCCTCCCTCTCACTTGCTCTCGCTCACTCTCTCTCTTCCACTCCTATTCGCTCACTCATTTGCTCTTCTCCCTCCGCCACCCTGCGCTCGCTCTCTCCTTTTCTACTTCTGGCTTTTTCCTATTTTTCTCCCCTGCCCTCATCTTTTCTCGTCTCTCTGCATTACTTTCCCTTTATTTTTACACTCTGCATCTCTAACAAGCTCATTCCTTGTTTTCTCTGCCTCAGTTTCTCCTTTTTCTCCCCTTGTTTTCTTTCTCCTGCCTAGGGCACAAGGACAAATACTCCCTCTCCTCCTCCACCTCCTCTTCCACGTGCAGTGCTGCGAGGCGACTGGGAACCAGCAGGGCTCACACTGGTCCGAGGAGCTCCCATAAGCAGTCCTCCCGGGATCAGAGAGACAAGCTGGGTTTAATGCAGAGCAAGAGTAAGTGGAAGGGGGGAGGGGGGGAGCAAGGAGGAGCAAAACACTAAAGGAGAGTGGAAGCGAGTGCGTGAAAGATGAGGGCGAGGTGATAACTGTGGCCGTGTGAAAGGGCTGTGAAAGTGAAATTATAGAACAGATAAGTGGAATTACAGACTTTTATTACCCATTTTGTCAACAACAATTAATGGAAATTACTGGATATATAAACATATTGGCTTTTTAAAAAATATTCGATGTTAGAAATGTTCCGAGCAAGAGGAGTAATTATTATTTCCTTTTTTCAAATTCATGTAGCGGCCAGAATATGAAGTTTTATTTATTTGTTTTCTGAAGATGGGACATGTAAGTGGGTATTTACAATGAGCAGTTTTATCAGCCATGGCTGAATAGACAAAGAAAAGAGCACCACCATGAGGAATTTCATCAGCAAAAAAAGAAAATCCAGGAAACATCACCTGAAGATACTGTTTGATTCATTTTATTGGCACCATCCTCTGCTATGTCAGTGGAAGTCAAGGCTGCAATTGTAAGTCGCTAACCTCCTGGCTCATAAAGACAAGTCTCACATACAATGTGGTGAAGTTTTACCTTTACAGAGAGGCGGTAGTGTTCATTTCCAGATCCATTCACTTTTTTCACTGTTCAAATAATCCGTTTATCGTACAGTATCTTGGTGCAACCTCTTAGTTTGTCCTCTCTACAGAATAAGCTGTTTTAACTTATCTTTAGGGCCACCCTCTGTTTTAATCCAAATCTCATCTGATTGGCTGTCCCTGACAAAAATCAGGTTTTAACAGCAGGTTGGTGGGGCCTCTGTGCCCAAAGCCAGAGCTGTATTAAAGATATCCTCTCTGCCTGAGATCAAACAGAGCCAAGACTAAAAAAAGCTGTCTTTAATCGAGCATGTAGAGCAGTCTGAAACCTGAGCGTTTGACTTACAGAGACTACATTTACATAACACTGACCTTATTACTGTGAACTTTGGCCCCGTTTAATACGAGTACCCAGTACCCACTGAGTTGGTTGTCATTTTTTTAGTACATTACTGTACTACCATGAATTCAATACTTATATTACAGTTACAATTATGTCATTTGTCACATTACAAAAGGTTCTTCCGTTATATAGAAATAACTGTGGCAGAAGGAAAGCAGTGAAGCAGCTTTTGAGGAACGGACATTACTTTTATTTTATTGCATAAGAGCGCAATAGTAAAGTCCAAGCTGAAGCTAACCAAGAACCCAGAGTGATGTTAAAGCTGAGCACATGCAGACCCCAGCCCAGCAGCCAGAGCTGGATCTTTAACAGGTAAAGGCCCCAATGAGCAGTCAGGCTGCAGCCTCCATTTCTATCTGTTTATGTTTCTAAAGTAGAATCACTGCAGCGATTGCTTTGAAGTCTTTGTGCTTTGCGTTGGCGTTGCTGTGTGACACTGTAGCTTAAGGTTTATATTGTTATCTGGTGATTATAAGACATTGCGTTTCAGGTCATTTTATTTAGTAACGAGGAAGCGATGTAGCAAATTACTTTCACTGCATTACTTGTAAGAAAAGCAATGACCTCAACACTGGTTGTATCATTGTATATATCAGCATAGCACACACGTTGAGCACAACTGAGCTCTAAAAATCTGAGCCAGAAAGAACAAGACAAAAACAACAGCAGCCTGCATGTACAAACCAAACATTACATTAATGTACCAAATGTGTGTTTTTAATTTTGTCTTCAAACAAAAAGATAATCTAAGTCAAGAAGAGTAAGCTGCTCCATCTCAGTTTACACAGATAATTATTCATAACTCATTTTCTCTTTACCATGAGAACATTTCTGCACTAGATCTAAGAAGCTTTT